CGATGGTGTTGTTATCTCAGTTGTTACAAATGGCAGGTTGAGATCAGCTAGGGTGCTGTCCACACAAAAATAAAAAATTCATTAGAAGATCTTTCCACCCTGAATTTTCAACTAAGACTGTGATATGAAGAAAATAAGTTCAATCGGATCTAAATTTCAAATCCAGATAACTAATTAGATGTTGACAACAAAATTAAAGAACATGCATCCATTAGATAAACGCTTCAAAACATGCATGATTTGAGCTTCATTTGGAATGTGAAACAGAAGAGTTTTTATAGCAAAGAAGTGCCACGAGTCCTTTGAAAAATTGAAGTACCTTGACAAGACAGGTTGAGCAGTTGTATATGATGTTCTTAGGGCAAAAACCACCAAACTTGCTATGCATAGCTGTAGACCTGCCATCTTCTGCACCTCTTGCAACCCAACATCCTAGAAAGCACCCGACCCACCAGAAAAAGTGATTATTTATTACTTGTATGAAACAGAACATGATCAGAATCTATTAACTGATAAACTAGACAAATAAATATGAAAAGAATACCTTTAAAGTTAAGAAAAATAAACTGAATGACAAAAGAACTGATATAAGACAGTATGAGCACGACGCTCCTGATAATTCTGTGCTTAAAACATACAGAAAGTATGCACTAGCAGCTGCCATCGACGTAGTGGTCCCGAGTAAAATTAACCGTCCATAAGTTTCACTAATTCCAAAAGGCAAATTCTTTTTGTCCAATTGTAGACCAAGAGCCGCAACTAATCCATATGCAACCATTCCAAACAATGGAAGTGGAATACCTGGCAAGTGCAAAAGGACTGTCACTAAAATCCTACTTTAAAGATTTACCTGCAAATGGAATGCTATCGGGTATGGGATTCTCAAGTCAACAGCATCTTTCTGAACATAGTAGTGCAATGAGAATGGAAACGCACAGAGCAAGTACTGAAATTCCTAAATAAAATGTGCTTATACAGTAGTGAGAATGTTTAAGTCAATTAAAATATATAAGTTATTATTTGAAAAATAAGTATTTAGGTGCTAATTGCAAAATTAGTCCCTTTTTTAAAGTAAAAATTTACTAAGAAATGCATTTATTTACTATAAATATGTTAGACTTATTTTATTGTACACATAGTTAATTTTAACAGAGAGACTAATTAAGTAATTTAAGACTTAAAAATTTGGAAAATCAGAATCATCAATTCAATACAGTAGTTCAGGAGCAAGATCCTTTTGTTTATTTCATTCAAGCACATTTCGTGGTGACTAATGATGGTTTACACATATATCGTTCACTAACTAACTATCTAAAAGGAGAAGAAAGGGAAAAAAAAAAAAAAGTTTTCAGGTGTTTTTTTGTTTTTTGTGAAACAGGAAGAATCAAGGAGTTTAACATGAAGATCTGCACAAGAAATACTTGAGAATTAAGTTAACCTCTTCTATCTCCTCATCTTTCTCAGAAACTGAAAAGCTCAACAGAATCCATAGAATTGTAGAAAATACCAAAAACGACGGCGTAGTCACTGTTGAGGACGTCACTGCAAGTGCCACCACCAATAGGGCAAAAGGCATCAGCATTAGCAAGTTTCAGATAAGTTAAGTATGTTGTTTCCACAAAGCCTACACCCCCAAGCCCCGCACACCACTTGGATGCGGAATTGGAAGCAGATACATGAGGAGGAGGAAGAGGAGAAGGAGAAGACGACGACGACGACGACGATGATGATGATGATACGGCAGACTCCGGTTCCACATCTTGACCTGACTCAGAAGATAAGCAGTTAGTAGGGACCAACAGCAGGCTCCGAGTCAATCCCTGGTTGCAAAGAAATGAGATGAGAAACCTATATAGCATATATACGCAGGCGAATAAAAATAGAGCACCTTGAATTGTATCGAACGAAGGCCGGAAGCAGAAGAAGAGAAATGGCGCGACAAAGCATAATAAGAGAGATTGGGAGACGATACGCCGAATAAGCACGCCATGGTCGTCCAAGGCTCAGAGACGAACTAAAGGCCGAGAGTTTAAAGACTTTAGGCGTGATGTAATATATAGAGAATAACGTTAATTGGGCCTAGGCCCATATTTGAGGCCCAAGCCCATTGTTGGTTAGGAGTTTCCATTGGGAAATGCGCTTCCGAATGCTGATGATATAAGTGGTCCCCATGTCCGTTTCAAACTTATCCGCGCCACTCAACATGGAAAACCGTCACTGTGAATCAGAGAAAAATAATTTATATAATTTTATATTTGAGTGTGAGGCAGCCATTTATGAATCTCGCCATAACCTCCGAAAAAATCAAAGATGGAAGCGACGCCATTGTTTTCCTCCGTTGGCCTGCCTGCTTGCTCTTCGTCTTCTTATTCTTCACGTTTCCAAGTTGTTGGCTGCCAAGATGTGAATCTTCTCAGGTAAGCTAAGTTTGGCTTAATTAATTTTGTTTAATTATTGTTTTAATTAGTTTGAGCGGGGGATTTGCAGGAAGATTGGTGGCTGCCAAGGACGTTTGCGTGGCATTTGTAGCAGCGGCAGAGGTTGGAAAGGAGGGTATGTTTATGTAGACAAGAATTTGTATGGTGAATTGATGGGGTTAATGGTTGATTGGGGTTTGGTTTGTTGGTGAAGGGCAAAAGCTGCAGTGAGAAGGAATGCAGAGGCACAAGGAGTTCCGACTTCGGTGCCGGTAAGAGTGGCGCACGAGCTTTTTCTAGCTGGCCATCGATATTTGGATGTCAGGTACATATACATATATATATATATATATGCTGTGGTTTTGTATTGAAATGCCTTGCGGTTTCTTCGCATCACATGGGTTGGGTTTTCCCATGTTTAGGACTCCTGAAGAGTTCAGTGCAGGTCATGCCTCTGGGGCCATTAACGTTCCTTACATGTACAGAGTTGGATCAGGTAATCAATCGATTAATCAATCTTTTCCTTGTAGAATAAAAAATCCTCTTGATTAAACCATCTCTTGGTGCAGGGATGACTAAGAACACCAACTTCTTGGACCAAGTCTCATCGCATTTTGGGAAATATGATGAAATCATTGTCGTGGGTTCATCTCCACCTACATTTTTCATTTGTTTTTTTTTTTTTTTTGAATATATCTCTCTTGTTCTAAGTTATGTTGGTGTATTCACAGGGGTGCCAGCTGGGGAAAAGATCTCTCATGGCTGCTGCTGATCTTTTAGCTGCTGTAACCACATCCTTCTTTGAATAATATATATCAATTCCCATTACGTCCCATTTAAAGATTTTAAGACCTTTTTTGTTTTTCTGCTCAGGGGTTTACCTCTGTCACTGACATAGCTGGTGGGTATGCTGCCTGGACGCAGAATGGGCTTCCAACGGAGCAGTGACTTCTGACTCAGCCTCAATGCTGGTAAAACACAAATATGCCTACTTATATCCCAGTAAATATGCCGATCCTCGCTTTGTAAAGCTTCAATAAGTAAATAAAATACCCCTTTTACGAATTTAGGTGGCTGCTGTTGATTGGAGCAACATGCCAATCCTCGCTTTGTAAAACTTTCAATCGATAAATAAATACGCCTTTCACGAATTTAGGTAGCTGCCATTGATTGGAAACAAACTTTTTCTATATTCTTAGGTCAAAATATACCATGAGGCTTATTTGATTTTTTTTTTTTTTTTTTATGAGTCTCCATTTACTTAATTTTAATTATATATTTTTAAATTTTTACTGATTCAATCTTTGACATAAACTGTCAAAGAAAATACTAATAGTTAAATAAGTAACAATGATGTATCAAAATTATGATACATCAATGATAATTTGATACATAAGCTAAGAGTTAACACTACGAGTTAAACAAATAAAATTTTGATAACATAAACCAATAAAAAATAATATTAGAATTTTTTGTTGGTTGAATTATGTCGAATTATATTTATTTTTAATGCAAAAAAAAAAATAACGAATTATAACATCTTAATAAAATTTATACTTGCGAATTTTAACAAATTAGAAGTTGTACATAGAAACAAGACATGCAATTCTTAATTGCTTTTCTTGTTTATTTATGTTTTATTTTTTGAGAAGTTATAAATGAAATGGAACTTAAAAAACAAGATTACAAATTCTCTCTCTCTAAATTTTTTGTATATTGTTCCTAGATAGTTAACTAATAACATATAACACTTCTTAATTTTTTTAAAACACGTAAATTCATATGTTATTTTTTTTTGTCATTTTTAACCTTAAATATTTGCTATAATTTAATCCTCAATATGATCATGTGTCACGTTATAATTGACAAGTCATGATTTTGACACATTATCGATAAGGTATTCAATAATTTTTAACCACCATCTAATAGCCATTAGTTATTGAAGATTTAAATTAATAAAAATTTAAAAGTTAGATCAAATAATACAAGAATTTTTTGTATTCACTTATATGGACAACTTCTTATCTACTTTAGCATCTCATGTACACTTGTTACTCCTATTCTGCTACTATCAATGTCAACTCAAATGTACAATATTACTTAATGGACTTGTGTTTTTGACAAAGTATTATCTTTAAAACCATAATATGTACATATAAAAATTAATATTGTAATCATCCGTGTACTAATTAGAAACGTAATCCTAAATGAAATCAGCTACCAAAAAAATAAAATGATTATTATTATTTTTTTTTAAAAATGCATTCTGTATCTTCATCATTTCTTAATATTGCTTTTATTTCAAACCACATCATATGTTTGTGCACAAACATAATAAATTTTTAAAATTTTAAAAATATCTATTTATATATATATATAGTAAATGTAATAAAAAATTCTCCAAAATATTTTTTTTTCTTCGTTCAAAAAAACACGAAACTGTCTTCCTTTCACGAGGCCAGTTATCGTGTTTCTGAAAAACCAAAAAAATAATAATAATAATACACATTTGTTCTTTTTCTTTTCCGCGTTCAAGAACGCTGAGCGGGTTGGCACAGTTAGGCAGCGGAATGCTTCAAACTTACACAAACAGTTGTAATGTAAGTCCGGAAGTTTGATCCCACCACGTTCTATGCTCTGACACCCATTAACGAAACCTACTCTCTCTCTCTCAAGCTTGATCTTAAAAGCAACGTGGTTTTCCCACTGCACTGCACAGATCCTTCCTTCGAGTCACCTCACCCGACAGTTTTCAGGCCAAGCTGACACTTAAAATTCAAAAGCAAACGAGGCCTGTTGTTCTCAGACATGGAATTTCTAGAATTGTTCAGAAAGTTAAGAGAAACATCACCATTCTCCATACACCAACTCTCACCGCTAGCA